CTATACCCGTTTATAATTCGTGAAATATTTTTCATATGTCATTATTAAAAATGGGAAAATTGCTTATACATTAATTGGCGATAACGTTAAACTGTTTTTTATATCACCACGATACACCTTAGCTTTTATTCCTGTGGTTTCTCTTTTTACCTAGCCTCCCCTGCTTCCGCAGAGACTAAGGGAAAAAATTTACTTACCAGCGTAAAAACTCCATTGGACTCAATGAAGAATCAAGCTAGGGTAGGCACTTTTGCCTTTGGCTAATACTGCTTTTATCTATAGGACTAAATTCATTTGCTATTTGTCTTATACATACACGCATATTCTCCACTTTTAAAACTCACCTTTAAGCTGAATTTGCCATTTTATCTTGAAACCGCTATTACTATTTACTGTATGTTACCTACTCTAGGTAAATTATCTTTGGACCTTTACAATTCTATAAGTTATTTTCAATTTCTACTGTCTTTTTATTTCTAAGGCTATTTAAAGTACGCTTAATTTTTACCCACTTTTATTAGCTGATTATTTGAAGTGCCTTGTCATTTCTTGCGTCTATTTTAATTAATGATCCTGTGTTTTAGACGATTTATATTTTTTTCACTAAGGATTAATTCGAAGTAGGCTGTTTTTGTTTTGCTGTTGTCATCTATGTGATTTTCCTGTACAAAGTGAGACTTGGAGCTATTCATAAAGGGCAAAATTTGATTATCTTCATAATCCTAGCCTTACGTGTTATTATTAAAACTTCCTTAACTGTTAGTTATTTTTTATTTCATCATGGGTAGAATCTATTTCAATCCCCTCTACATAATTGGGCAAATTATTATATCTATCAAGCAATCGTCTGCACATTGAATTTTAATACATAAACAGGACTTCTTTTGGATTTATTGTGAACAGAAGTGTGATAAAACAATAAAACATGGTACATTCTTCGTGACGATCATGATATAGTCCTTTTAACTTGGAGATATTTATCATAAATATCAGCCACAAATATTTCCCTTCCAGCTTGATTAACATTCTTCTGAAAGCAGTGATTCACGTCAGATTTTTTCTATTTTCAGATGATTCTTTTTTACAATCGTTCGTCACATCTTTTCCAAATTGCATTCAATTGCATTTTTATATCATAATCACTATTGAAATTTTTACAGTCAGCATTTAAAATCAGATACTTAATTGAACTACATAATGTAGTCCGATCTACATCTATTCTATGATTGCCTTGCATCACTCATTATTGGGGGCAATTATACCAGCAACTTAATAATAACCATGCAAATGGCCCTCATCATAAATTGTTTTCGGTGAACTTGGATTCAAATAATAAGAATAAACTTAGAACCCTCTTAATCTGAAATGCGAGTTTCAGACTTACACTTTATTGAAATTCTATATTGTTTTGTTCGTGAGCGCAATTATAAAGCTGTCGATTTTCCAAGGATGTTTCTTCTTTCATATGCTAACTAACCTTCTTATTTGTGTTATAAATATTGTATAAGATATTCTCTTAGTAGTTCCATTTTGAATAAGAGTTCCTTCTTTGATTTATTTTTTGATACCTCTTTCTTGAATTGAAGCATCTCAACTTCCATTCATACTCTTTTATGCTATATTATACTGTTAATTTTTTCACCAACCTATCGTTTTCATTCTTTCTGATTTGTATTTTTACGTTGACGCTTTTATGCTTGCTTACCTCAGTTTCTAAACTCCTTAAAAATTACAGACTATCTCCAACAAGAAGTCAACATTTTCCCTTGTCAAATCTCGTAAAAATAACTCTGAGATGGACTGGAACGCTTTGATTTTGTCACGAGTTTCAAAAGTAATTTTCGAAGCCAAATTGTGCGCGAAAAATAATAAGAAGTTTGGCTGGGATGATTTGATCACACACCAAGACAAGATCCCCCCTGTAAGTCTGATTTTAATCTTCACTTAAAGCTTCTTGGCTATGTAAGATCCTACTAGGGCATTCTAGAACTCGTTTATGAATGGCCTTTATCTTCATCAATGAGAACGTTTATATTAAAGCTCAAAAGAACAGCTTTTATGATATTCCTTGTCATATTTTGCCTTTTTTCTCATTTGTTTTTAACAGGTATTCATCATCCTCGAATCTCATATTTCTTCCTATGCTCAAGCCTTTGGCTGAAATTTTTTTAGAAACCGCCTTTAGTTCATATATGTCAGTAGTGGACAGTATAAAACAGATGGCGATGTGAGTATCATGCTATGAGCATTGCATAGCTTACAACGTCTTAAGAGCAATACAACCAATCTTAGCCTAATTGAGGCAACGGAGAATCCTACTTCTTAAATAAAAGCATTTTTTGCCATCGTTCGCACTTCAAGTACCATGCTGGACTGGCCGAGAGCACATGGTAAGATAGTGTGCTCGTTTTCAAGCAATGCGCTGATATGTGACTTACCCAACCAGATAACCTCGAACTCTATAGGTTAAGGTTGAAAACTCTTTTGCTCTCTTTGAAATAATCGGCAAGTAAGATTAGGTTAATTTCAAGCCGAACAATCGAGACAAAATCAAGCAAAACTGTATTTAAAACTAATTTTAAAAATATGGGAATCACTTAACGCGACATGATGTGACGCAATCTATCATTGAAGGTTGTTTTTTGCTAGTGCTTCTCATTTTCCCCATAGCATTCTTGATAACAAGAAAAATAATTGGAGCAAAGCCCACAAATCAATCCTTTTTTACACTGAAGTCGAAGTGTTTTTGATATGCTAATATTATTCATTTTTAGTTTAATTGTCGGATTATTTTGACTATAGATTAAATATTGATTCCATTTAATTTGTACCAATCCAATATTAGGTTTCCTGAATTTCGACTAGTTTATTGATGATTCGAATTATGGTTTGTGAGTATTATACGCTTTCGAACTATAATCTTGTGCATTCTACAATTTTTATATGGGATTTCTGCTTTTCTAAATATTCTACAATCTACTCAG